GATGTGATCGATGTCATCATTATCGGTGCTGGATTTTCTGGTTTGTATATGCTATATAAATTGCGACAACAAGGATTTTCAGTAAGAGTCTTGGAAGCTGGTGATGGAGTTGGAGGTACATGGTATTGGAATCGATATCCTGGAGCACGTTGTGACATTGAAAGCTTGCAATATTCATACTCTTTTAGTGAAGAACTGCAAAAGGAATGGCAATGGTCAGAAGTTTTTGCGCCACAACCAGAAATTTTACGTTATGCTAATTATGTTTCTGATAAATTTGATTTACGTAAAGACATTCAATTTGGAACGTATGTTACTGCTGCAATATTTGATGATAATCATTCATGTTGGGAAATACAGACTAAATGCGGCAATCGTCTATTGGCCAAGTTTTGTATTATGGCAACAGGTTGTCTTTCTGCGGCTAGAATTCCTAATATTAAAGGACTCGATCAATTCAAAGGTTCTTACTATCATACTGGTCAATGGCCACATGAAGGTGTCAACTTTTCTAGACTTCGTGTTGCAGTTATTGGTACTGGCTCATCTGGTATACAAAGTATTCCACTTATTGCTGAGCAAGCTAGTCATATTTATGTATTGCAACGGACACCTAATTTTAGTATACCGTCACGTAATCGACCATTGAATATGGAAGATAAAGAATGGTGGCAATCGAATTATCCTGACTATCGGCGTAAAGTTTTGGACACACGTGGAGGATTTCTAGTGAAAGGTATGGAAGAGAGTACAGCATGTGAGTTAACAGTAGAAGAACAGTTAAAAACATGTGAAACATATTGGCAATTGGGAGGCTTAAACTTTTTATTGTCTTTTACTGATCTTTTAACCGATAAGAAAGTTAATGATATTGCAGCCGATTTTGTACGTAATAAAATTCGTCAAGTTGTTAAAGATCCTGCTGTTGCTGCGAGTTTATTACCATCCGGTTACGCTATAGGTGCTAAACGTTTATGCGTGGATACAAATTATTATCAGACTTTTAATCGTGATAATGTGACACTTGTCGATCTTCGTAATGGGTCTATTGATGAGATTACAGAAACAGGAATTCGAATTAAGGACAAAATTTATGAAGTTGATATTATTGTATTTGCTACTGGTTTCGATGCTATGACTGGACCACTACTGAAAATTGACATTCGTGGACGTTCTGGTAAAAAACTTCGTGATAAATGGGCAGAAGGACCACGTTCATATCTTGGTATTATGATTGCTGATTTTCCAAATTTATTTACAATAACTGGACCTGGTAGTCCATCTGTACTGACTAATATGATACCTACTATTGAACAACATGTCGATTGGATAGCAGAATGCTTAAACTATATTCGAGTTCACAATTATAATACGATCGAACCAACTTCAGAAGCCGAAAATGCATGGGCTGATCATGTTAATAGAGTTGGTAATAGTACATTATATCCTACTGTTCAATCTTGGTATACAGGAGCAAATATTGAAGGAAAACCAAGAATTTTTATGCCATATGCAGGTGGACTCAATGTATATCGGCAGAAATGTAAGAAAATCGTTGATGAGGGCTACCAAGGTTTTGTCTTCGCCAATAGTACATCGACATTGCCAGTTATAGTTCCCTAACATCTACAACAAGAATATGACGGATAATCAATATTGCAACATCTATTGTTGAAAAATTGTTTGAATCATACTTTTTTGTTTTTAATTATTCATTTAAACTTTTTAATTTCTCTTCCTTATCATATGTATTGCTTTGAATATTTGTTGAAATAAAGTTACAATTAAAGTAAAATAATAAATTAATTATAAGTTCTATGAACAATAAATTTCATTAAATGATTCGAATAAAATATTAATTTAAATTAAATATGACGTTTCAAAAATCGATGTTGTCTTCTTCAGGGGCTAGAGACGACTTTAACGACGTGTTTTGCTTCTTTTTCTTCAATCGTGTCTTAGTGGAACAGAAAAATGGTGATATTAGTAGGAGATTCGGACTATTTATCTATTTCTTCTGTCCAACGATGATATGATTAGAGAAAACGAAAAAGAAAAATGATTAAAAACCATCCATAGAGTCACCTCTATGCTCTGAAGAAGACAACACCCATTATCCAAAGATCATACTAAATTTAATTTAATGAATTTTTTTTTAAATAGAACTTATAATTAATTTATTATTTTATTTTAACTTACTTTACTTAAATAAATAATAATAAATAATATCTATAATAAGGAAGAGAAATTAAAAAGTTTAAATAAATTATCAAGAATCAATATTCTTCCTCATAAGCAGAACATACGGAATCATATGGTGAATAAATTATTGAACATAACATGAGACTCAACAATAGTTTCTGTTCTACTAAATTTTGTAACTATTTACGGTAAAACATTCAAGATCATTATGATAATTATCGAATTGCCATCTTCATACTCTTGTAAGTAGCAAAAATATTGCAAACTATCATCTTACTGAGATCTACACAGACCTAATTCGAAATACTCACGTCAGTTAGTTTTCTCAATTTCCTTCCACTATGCCTGGATGTGGATGTTAGTGTAGCTGTGGTTGGTAAAGATGGTATGGGTGTTGGTCTCCTCTTCACCCAGATCTACACCCACCAGCCACACCCACACTCACCCACACATCCACACACCCACACACCCACACACCCACACCCACACCCATACCCACACCCTGCTACACTCACCGTCAAGTTGATGTGTTTGAATTGAATGCACTTGAGTGGCATTTTCGTACAGAAACAAAAAAAACAAATAAAGAATGGTGCACTCTGTTGAGTGTGACAGTTGGTTTCTTCCAACTTGAACAAGAACAGCGTAAAATTAATATTCATGTATAGGAACGTTGTCCATATTTGTTGAATCGCTGCAACTAATCGAACTCAGCATCATGAGCAACAGTTTATCGTCGAATCAACGTTGGTTGGGCGTACTTTCTGATGAGTTGTTTCTTGACATTTTGCAATATGTTGATCCTATCGATCATCGTCGTTTCAAACGTCTCAACAAACGAATTGATTGCATTATTCAAGTTCTGAGAGTAAATATTGTTGTTCAATGTCAAAAAGAAGCTGAGCCTGATTGTTTATCGAGTTTTGTTCCAACACAAATCATTCGTTTGAAAATTAGTGCCTACTGGTTGTCGTTGAATTTAAGAAACGTTCCATGAAAAAATAAAAATTCCGAAAACATTAGGGTCAAACGATTTTGAATCTAATCCCATAGGAATTTAGGCCTGAGCGTATTATATATGAATTCAAAATATTACGGACTACAGATCTACCTATGGTCAGCTAGGACGAACCAACTTGAGACATTCACAAAAAATATCGTCAAATAATGCAAAACAATTCAACTTTTAGTTTCTGTGAATCTTTTCTTTCAAATTCTTCCAGTGTTCAAATTGAGTCATATAAGAGTCGATAGAGCTTGGCTTGCGCTGTAAAATGGTATATATGACATTTTTATCAGTCTCGATATTGAAACCAAAATCTCAAAAAGAATGTGTTTTCTGCGTACACGATTTCATGGTTTTTTCAGTATTTTGACCAAATGCCTAGATCAAACATCAATCGGCAAAAATATTTATATACTACTTTGTAGCCCATTTAATCCTGGGTCGAATCATGTATGGCACATTATTTGGAAACGTTCTTACAGTGAAATAGCTAAACTTAAATATTGTCCTCTCAATGAAATTAAGCGTAACTTGATATTTATATTTGTGGATTTTTTTCTTATAATGTTTTTACTATTCAAGTTGAATCCGATACCAATCGATAGAGTTTGACTCGCTCTACAAAACGGTATATATGACATTTCTTTTCAGTCTCGATATTGAAGTGAAAATGATGTGTGTGTATGCGTGTGAGTCCAGAGAAGGTAGATAAGAACATCAATACCCACACCACACACCCACCTACATCTACACTCTCTCTTTGAATTTCATGATTTGTATATTAGTATTTTTATAAAAATTGAACTAATAAACTAATGAAAAACAGAGACTCCTCGTGGTTATACAAAAAAGTACAAGAAGATAGATTGTGAGCTGAAGAATCGGATAATACAATTGTTTGATCCTACTGGAAGACTTCTGATAAAACAACTGCTTTTTTATTAAGAACTACCGTCAAATCTCATTTAAATGATCAAATTAGAGCAAACAGTAGCTCAACTGATTGCATAGCACAGCAACAGAATGAATAAAAACGTCGAGTCAGTGTTTTTTGTAATGGCTTTAACTCATTTAGAAATAATGAATTATGAAAAAACATCGACAGAAATGTAGAATTTCAATGGCTTTATCCTGAAAAAACAAGATGAACACTCACGGACGTCGTAGCAGAAGGATATCAGTTTTTTCTAAAAAAAAAAGTACTGCAATTGTTGATTGAATTAGGATTAGATACTCTATACTTGTTGAATTGTGCTATTATCACTCATGGTGGCGAAATCCTGCGGTGCCGTTAACTTCTGTGGTTCTCAAGATTTGACACTTTACGCTAGTCCTGAAGATTGAAAGTATTTTTGAATATCTTGGTTATTTTTAAAGTCTTTTAAAACGTTTCTTCAAAAGCGACTTAACAAGGCAAGTATTTATTTGAGTACAATATTAATTTTCCGACAGTTGTTAAGCATTAAAGTAATGTTTAGATTTGCAGAAGCTAAACTCATTTGTTCTCTCTTCTGTATCTTAGAAAACGTCAAAATACTTAGCAAAATGAGGATGTGTGCCTGTTAATTGTTGATATCGATTGTACCACAACAAATAAATAGTTCTTATAGAGAAGAAATTTTTAGAGAAGAGTTTTGAAGAAAAAATGAATCAGGTATTGATTAAGTTTAAATTAAAAGTCAGTTCAATTGGTGTCATTCGATGAAAACTCATCAGATATATAGTTTATTTATTTATGTGAATTCATTTTTTATGTTAAAAAACAAATGATTTTATAAGGAAGAATTTAGCGTTAACAGAGTAGATTCCATGGAGCTGTATTGAAGTAAAGATGCATAGCTGTGAAGCCACCAATATCTTCGAAAAATTTTTCCAAGCAGGTTGGTACAATTCTCATAAACTTCTGAAAATTAATAAAAAAAATAAATGAAAACTGTCTTCCAATATTTATTTGTCATACTAACCGAAACTGCTCCGTAAGGTACAGCCTCTGTTCGTTTTGTATATTCATATTTGCCGGCAAGACCCCATCCAAATCCTGTCAATTTACCTTTGTTATACAAGAGAAAGACAGGAAAGATTTGGTCACATTTATTGTCGAGTGAGTTTTCATACCAATAATGAACACCTGAAAAGAAATCTATGAAAATAACAAGTTTTTTTAACCAGATTATGTAATTTACCCATCGATGGAAAACATGAACCTAATACCCATTTCGTTGCATTTATTGTATTTTCATACAATGGTGATTGAACTGAGTCACGAATAGGATCAGGTCCATTTTGTAACCAAAGACCAGTGCCTGAACCTTCGAGTTTAAGACGGGCTTCATCTCGTCCTGATGTACAAATGGTTTGTGGATCAACAAAATATGCTGTCAATACATAAGAATCGTTGCCTGCAACTGTAGCTCGATTATACATTTTCTGTGTATCAAATTTATAATATTGTGTTTTGGCCATGGAGACAGGAAGCTTTAAAAATAAATAAGAGATTATAGAAGAACAATCAAAACAACTTACTGCTAATTGTACACCAGCAATAGTACCTTTTATATCATAGATCAACACCAAAGCAATATCATTGTCTTTTATGAAACGTTGTCCGAGAAATTGTCCTTCAATCATATACAGAAAACTAGTTAGTTCTATAGATTTAACAACACTTACCTTCGCATCCAGTGGAAATCTGAACAAAACCTTCCTTCTTCGCTTCGGTAACAGTGAGCGGTTGAGCAACAAAATAGTCTTTACTCAGAGGATTTGGACCCCATGTCGATTTAAACGTGTCCCATTTAGGTCCAGAGCTACTACGATCAATACAGAGGCAAGACCCTAAAATAAAAATAACATATTGTATATTCGATTTGAATACTTTCTACTACGTACGAGAAGTAAAGTATCCAATCAAGAAAAATATAAGATATTTCATTAGAAGAATATTGTCGATCTTTCTTTCACTGATAAATATACGATAATTGAATAATTTCCTATCTGGCTACACAATGCAAAATGAAAGAATGGATCTTCTACTAACGAGGTTTTATAGGCTGAGAAAATAATTGATTGTTGTTATTGAGTCAAATATTAAGGATTAAGAGAAAGAAAGTCAAGTCATGATGATATTGTATTTGCACAATGATTTGCCATAAAACCAATAACAAAGCAAATTAAAAATTTTGCAAGTCAATCTACATATTGTTTTTTCAAGAAACGTTAAATGTGAATCAAAGAATGGATGATATACCATCGATGAATGATGATAACTCTGTTGACAACTATACGACTAAAAGAGTTATTTTAATAGAAGTCGTCTGATGTCATCTGTGAGTTTTAGAAAGATTACTTTTCGATATGCAAACGGATTATTATTAAATGTGAAACCTAAGAAAAAAAAACTTGTATGTGATTACTAATTTTTCTTCTTAACTAATTATCGAATTATATTAGATTTTTACTGACTGGCAATGTTCGATTTTATTCAAGCTAATTAATTAGTTCACAACATTTATAAATGATACACAAAAATCAAGTTCTCTATAATATTTATTAGAAAAACAATTGAATGTTATTATTTATTTATAACGAATTTAAAATTCCTATGAATGAAAACGAATATCTGCAGTCAGATATATGATTATGGAGAAATTTGATGTTTTATACAATTCTACATCAGCTGAATATTAAATCTGTATATTTCAACAAATGATCAACTATTCTTCTATTAGAATCATCAAATAATAATGTAAACAATTTAAATATATAGAACATTTCTCAGAAGATGATGACCGATTAATCTATATTGCTATTCGAACGATAATATTTTGATTTCATTTTATTACTTGTCTACTTGATCTTCTTTATCAAAATCAATTATCAATGAAAAAGTATGAAGATTCAACATATAATTATCTATTTGAGGGAAAGACATTTTTTAAAAGGCCAAAATAACGCCAAAACTACATATAATGTGTATGATGAAGTACTATTAATATCGATACTATTTCAAATAAACTAAATCTTGGGTATTAAAATTGATTGTATCATGTTGAAGAGAAGATTTGACCATAGGTATTGACGCGGATGACGATTTATTTGTTTAAATTTAATTTCAACTAAACGAAAATCTCAAAAACAGATTTTCTATTCTTAGTTTTAGTAAAATTTTTTAATTGTTTTCTGTATAAAAATTTTCAATAAAGTAAGAATAAGAACAAGAAATAATATAGAAGAAAAACAAAGCAAATGAATTCATATAATGATACTATTTATTGTCAAAGCTTGACAAATTTTTTTTTAAATCATCTGTTTAACTTGTTAATTTTGAATAGATCATTCTTCAAATAAATTCAGTTGTGAATTATCTTTATTTCTTATAAAAACAAGACATTGATTTATGAAACCAAGCTGTCGTAAATTTTTAATTAAACATGCACCTGTATTACGAGCAGGCTTTTCATTATTACGTGTCTTATCAGTTACAATACGAAATCTATCTTGATTTTTATTAAACGTTCACCAAAAGGGGATCGAAGAAATGACAAAGCACTATCTGTTGTTGATTTTGAAATAAAATGAAAATTAAGATTAATTGATTTAGCTGCTGCTCTTTCTATATGTTTTTTATTTTCCCAATTTTTATCATATATATTATCATCAATCCATAAAACTGATCATTTCGAAAGACTTAATTCAATTTGTCTCATATAAATGATATTTTGATTTCCATGATAATCAACTTCATATTTAAAAACAACAAATGTTCAATGAGATAAAAATAAAATTTTATCTTCTTCTTCTTCATAATTTGAAAATTGTTTTATTGGACAGTCAGTTAATAAATATATTTTAAAATAAGTATTACGATAATCGAAATCAAAATTAGTAACAACTTCTTTTCCTTTCTTTTTTTGAACTACTAAATTGAATCCATGTAGTTAATCAACGACGCATATATAACTGTAATTCATTATTAGTTAATGTCAAAGCACGCGCAACATAATCCCAATAATAAATGAATATAACAGCAGCTTTATTCATTTCATATTTTGCTATAGCTTCAATAATTTGTCCATTCGCTTGACGAGCAACAAAATTAGCACTACGACTAACTGCTTCACTTTTTGTACTTGTATAAAATGATAAAGCTAATCATGCTGCTGTTTGAGCATCATCGATTGATAGACTTTTCTTAGTAAAATAAGTTGTTGATAATGCAGTTCTTTTTTCATGTTTAGCCATTATATTATCAACATTAACTTTTTCTTTTATTTCATAAAAATGAGAAACTTTTTAAAATTTTTCATAAGATGATTTTCTTCTGACAAAATCAAATAAAAAAAGAGTTATAATGATCTTCATAGACAACATGAATTTTACCATTAGATAAAATATATTTCAAATAAAATCCTATTTCTTCTATTGTCATCATCGTAAATGATAATTTTGTTGCTTCACCATATTCTCTTGAATTATTTCGTGAATCAAAAGTTCTTGTTAACTTTTGTAAATGTTCACGGTTTGTTAAACGAACAATAAATATCATATAACAATCATGTACTAACGAGTATTTTCAGATGATGATACTGAATTAAAGATACATAAATCACGCCCTATTTCTTTCATACAAGCTACGACCTTGATCTTTAAACATTTTAATTCTTTTGAAATAGAATAGCTTTCAAAAAAAATATGAAAAGACAAGACTTAAAAGTGTTAAAAATAGTTATAACAAGAGTAAATAATAACATAGATGAAAGAATATAATCAAGCAAAAATAATTATTATTTCAAGGAAAAACAAGAGATTTTCTATTCTCTATTTCAAAAGACCACATCTATTAGAATATCAAAAAGAAAGCTTTTTAACTCATTTCAGTATGTAGTGATTCATGCAAGTATTCAGACTAAATCAATAATAAAAGGGTTTTATTGATTTTCATTATACTGAAAATTGTTTAATTGCATTATAGAATATTCAAGTGTCTATAAGAGAAATAATTCATATTTTTACGATATTCAAAATATTTTTTATATTTGAATATAAGAAGAAAAATTTCATTAGAAAGAATTTTTCAAATTGAAACTCTTGATTGTCTAAGAATACAATTTAATGTGTTTATTTTCCTATGAAAGTTGTCATAAAACTCATAATTACTTAAACATATATGTTTAAATTCATTGATAAACAAGGTTAATCTAATATTCTTTTATTTTTCTGCTATATGGAAAAGTAGAGAATTTTCTCTGATTAATTGATGATAATTTAAAAGTATTTTGATAGATCAAATTCTCAATTGAGATAAATATATTTAAATAGTAACTTGAAAATTTCTATTACATTAGTTCTATTCAATAGATTTTATTGAAAAAATAGAACAATTGTTTTCAATACAGAAAAAAAAACGATCAAGACAGTTCAATTATTAAATATAAATAAATGTTTGTTTTTAATTATTTATTTTGAAAAGTTTATAGTTAATAGTTATTGAAAAAATTATTAATATAAATTAAAACATCAATGAATAGAAAGAAAAAAAAATAGTTTAACATTGATGACGTATAGTCATTGTTCGAACAGATTCATCTTGTTCTGATCTTATTTGTTTTCTTGTTATAAAAGAATAAAATTTAATAAATATTCTTTTTAATCCTCGTCGAAATGATGATGATGTTAATATATAAATATAAAATGGTAAAGCTGTATTAAAATACATAATAAATGATTGTAAAATATAATTAATAAATGATTCAACTTCTTTTCGTTCTCCACTTTTTATTAAATTATCTGTCACTATTTTATAAATAAGATAAATTGAAAATGGCATTGTACTCACAACATAAAACATAACTTCAATAAAAATCATTTTCATTTAATCTCTATCACGTTTTTGAAATATATTAATTGATTGTTTATTTTCTTGATCTTCTCGTTTTGGTTGAACACGATCTCGTGTTTGTTTTAAACTTCTCATAACTAATAGACTAAATATTATTATTAATAATGAAGGAAGAATTCCAGCAGTTATCATATAATATCTACTAATAATATGATAATTTGTAATCAATTTTACAAATTTGTTCACATTATCCTGTTCAATAGTTTTTGTATATATTTTTTTTCTAATAAAATTGTTTTCTATATATGACGTCTTTTTGGAATGTGAGGACATCTGTTATAAAAATAGAATGTCCTATTTAAACACTCTCCTATTCGTTCAGTAGTGTTATCTTCACTTCCAATTAATTTTTTTCTGTTCTGTCTTTATGTTGTATATATAGATAGTATTCTCTCATTCTGTACTTGTACCCAATGATATGTTTAGCTGCTGGTGGTTGTTTTCGACCATCAACATGACCAAATATACGTTCAAATTTTAATTGAAATTCTGCACTAATTCCGCTATCTAAATCCAATAGATGATTTGGTTCTTCTCCTGATTCTAATGGTTGACAATTGTGTTCATCAAAATATGATGTCATCTCTAATTAATATATTTCTATTTATTTAATATGCTTATATTCAGATTTTTATAAAAAAAACTAACAATGTATCATTTTATTTATTGCAATGACTAATACATAATCTCATGGTTAATAGAACATCCAATTGATCTTTTTCTCAATATGCGACATCTTTCCATTTAAAAAATCCTCAAGTCGAACAGTACGATTTCGATGTGATCTATAAGTTGATGTGAATGACTCATTGCATCATTACTAAAAACGAATCAATTTATGTTCTTATTTTGGATCATCTCTAAATTGTCTCGATTAAACGGATGATTTTACAAGAAAATTTTGCATTAATTATTACATCTTTCTATAATATTTTCGTCGTGACCATTTTTATTTTCTCGTTGTCACAAACTAGCGTCATCAGCATTATAAGGAAATTTAAGACTTAAGTTGAAAAATTTGATGCGACTAGCNGTGTCAGAATGGCTATGAGGTCATATAGGAGAAAATCGCGATTTATGTATTCTTTTCAGCATTTTTGAAGTATGAATCTTTGAAAATAAGTTTAGTTTACTCTGTTGTTACTTGTTCAATGCTGATTAGACAAAACAGGTTTTGACTAAATAAGATACATGATACATTAAATGAAATTAATAATATTTTTTGTATTTCAATTTCTAATAGTGCAAATGATTGCGATGACAGTGACTTTGATGATAACAATTCCTTGAATTATCATGTTAATCATGTAAGTGATATCCACGATTACTCAATTGTCAACAAAAATTCTCGTAACACGAACGAAATATTATCGTGAAAATGATGAACTACGCTCCATGTTTGTGCTGCTTCATTTAAGCAATATTAATCGCTGTAAATATGGCATTATCATCTCAAGATTAAACTAGTTTTGATTACGGAGGAAATATGCCTTCCAATGGAAAATGAATAACTCTTATTTGTGAACGATTAAACTCAATTTTTTTTTCGAAAACATCCATTTCAAATATAATTAAAAAGAAGTACATAGCTTATATTGAAAACAATCCATGTGCAATCGGTATTAAGTTAGTTAATTTTTTTATGTCAAGCACTGATATTATTCAACATTAATCCTAAATATATAGAAAAAATTAACAATAGGAACACGATTGTCTAGTCTTGATCTTCCCAAATAAAGATGCATTAATTATAGAGAAGCCGGCGAAGAAAAGTTTTGCTACATATATCTTAATGAGTTTTAAATATAGTTTTATAAGAAAAGATTAGTTGGGAAAAGAGGATCCAGAAGGCAGTTTAATTATTGGTCCTAGCCATATTTCTCAGACTATGATGAAATATACTATGGTGTTTGAAAAGCTATTGGAACAAATAGAAACGATGGCTTTATTGCATTACTCAACGAAAATAATCGAAGGCGATTCCAAACAAATTACAATATAACAGACCTTTTCCCAATGTTATGACAAGTGTTCATCTGGTTTATCTGAAGAACTAAGTAATAATTTTAGAATGATATTACAACATGTCAAAATTAATGCGACTTTGAAAGAATTCATTCAGTTTCAACAATAATGTACTCCTTATCGCTGACCAAAACAATATATCGTTAGTAAAGAACAATTGACAATGTGATAATGTATTAAAGTTAACCACAATATTACTCTGAACTCAAGCGTTATTTTTTTAATGAATAATGTATTTGCGATAACTATGTTGAACAAAATGATATGAGCCGTTTAGTAGTAACAAATCGTGAAAATAATAAAATTGGTGGTAAAATTTATGGTGATTCAAACGATGTAAAACAAATAACTATAGAAAGAGTGTGGGTGTGGTTTCCTCTTCAGCTACACTCTTCTTGAGACTACTCTTTTTACAAAGCAACCATTGAATGCTATTGAGGAAAAATTAGTTATTGCTAAGCGACTTAAAATGATATGGTTGTTCATCTATCTTTATTGTGAAGTAGACTGAAGATAACGGCTTGTCTATCGACAAACATGGTAACGATGTGTGAGTTTAAAATAAAATGTTTATGTGGGTGTAGGTGTGAGTTTGAATATGTGCGTGAATGTAGATGCTGGCGTATGGCTCTATCGGAAGCGAAGTCTCACAATGCTGTATTTTTAAAGTATAAGTAAAATGGATCAGATATGCTAAGATCATGAAAATGTGGCTCGTTTTTGTTTGTAAATCGGAAGATTCGAACTTGTAGTGGAATCATTTTGATATTCTGATTGTGCGTTTCATGCTCTTTCACTATTGCTCCTTTGTACATCAACCAGTACGTTCTCATGTGTACAGAAAAATCGCTAAACTTAGCTGATGAATCCGCTGGAAACTATAGTAGGGTTGAAAGAGATTATGAAATAGATAGATGTATGCACCGTTCACATAGAACCTAAACTACATAATCATCACATCGGGCATCATAGTGAAGATTCGGAAGATGAGCGTGACATTTTATGATTTTTGGTTGAATACTTATATCAAACATTGTTGAATTTATTAAGTAAATGAAACTTGATTAGATCACGTAACTTCCTATGTGGTTAAAAGTATGTCAGATAAAAAAGAGTCAAAAAATACAGCATTGTGAGACTTCGCTTCCGATAGAGCCATACGCCAGC